GAGTTAGTCTGTATCATTAATTTAATCATGTCATTTCAGAACATCAATTTGATTGCATTGCCAGTTTAATATCCAACACTCTTAATTTTTAATTTTTTTTTTTTTATTGTTTAATTTCTCTCTTGATGGGCCGTATCTGTTTTTGTTTTAATTAATCCTAATTTGGCGCCACAATTCATGTTTGTTTATAATAATGCAAGAATTATGGGATTTATTGCGGGAAGAGCCGCAGGTCTTGCGTGACTTGGCCAAAGATACTGGATAATCAACCACAAAAAATAAAACAAACTCCCGGTTACGTATGGGCAATGGAACTTTTCGTCAAATACTAACAACGGCCCCAGACACTCCGTACTTTAAAACTAAAAGTTCCATTACCCTTACTCAGTAAGAGTTGCACCGCTTCCCGAAATAAATCCCATAATTCATGCATTATTATCTATAAACGAATCGTGACGACGAATTAGGATTAATTTATAAACATAGATATGGTCCATCAAGAGAAATTTTACAATAAATAATGTTTTTAAGAATATTGGATATTGAACGGACAATGCAAATATATTGTATAAAATAGCATTTCTTAAATCAATTTCATGGGAGTTGACATCTTGTTGTAGTACTAGTTACCTTCCTTAGACTTTGTTTATGATAATATAAACAAGTCTCGGTCACCCAGAACTCCTAGTCTTCAACGTACGGAGAGCTTGGGGCCGTTGTTAATATTTGATGAAAAGTTCCATTGCCCATGCGTAACTGGGAGTTTTATGTGGTTGATTATCCAGTATTATTTGGCCAAGTCAAGCATGAGTTGCGCCCCTTCCCGAAATAAATTCCATAATGCAAAGAGGGATGCAATTACTACGGGACGCAGTCTCCGAATTAGTGGAGGACGAAATTGACAGTTCGCCCTGTCCGATTCCATTCCCAACCATGAGTAAGTGAGAGAAGTTTTATTAAGGAGTTAATCCTTCTATTGAATTGCAATGATCTGGCAGAATCCACCCCAGGAAAGAAGACTGTGTTATGCAACGTTTCGATCGATAAACGCAAAAACAACTTCGCCAGCTCCTTGTAGAATTCAAGAAAGACATCCTACAGTATACACTTTTAAAGTATGCGAAATAGTAACATAACCCTTGGCCTAACTCAAGGCCGAGAATGAAAATCTCCATGGCGAAAACTAATAAAAAATTAGTGCATACTATTACATTCCCATAACCTAACAGTCCCCGGGACTGGGTTTTAAACTCCATTGGGCATATCGCAGCCCATTAACTAATAACCAAGTAACGCCGTATTTACCAAGGCCAATAAAGTTCTTTATTCGGTTTAGGCAACTGCGAATATGATTACTGTATGCAATATGTATTAAAATAAGTATTTACAGTTCATTGGAAAAACAATATTGAAAGCATAGCGTTCGATGTCAGACGTGGTGGGAGATAGCATTGTCTAGAGCAAAATTCTAAAGAAGAAGCATTCCGCACACCTGAGCATAATGATAATGGCGCCGCAATTCCTTAAAGCGCCGGATAGTAGAAGCCGTTAAACGCTTGAAAAACATCATGAAATATCTTATAGGAATGAAAATGTACCGATCATGTTTTATAATAAATCCTCACCTAGTAAAACAATAGGTTCTACTGTTAGAATAGTTTGAAATATAAAGTGATTGATCTTAAGAATACTCGAAAGGCTCCAGAGTATGATGCTGCTTGACCGAAGTCGATTGCTATCTGCCATCACGTCGTCAACTGAGTCTTATATAGGCAACACCAACGTACCAGGTGACCGGATTGACCAATGGTAGGTTGTCCTTTTTGGGAGCGTCGGAACTAATTACAGCCTAATGACAATAACATTATAATTTAAAACGATAAGAGCCTATGCCGTCTTGTCCGGTGCATGTCCGATCTGCTTAAATTTAGCAGTATACAGAATAAGAATTAATGAAATAATCATAAAACGGACAAGTATCAACACAAAACCCCAGCATACATAGGCCTAGTGGCGTCGTGCGCCATTACACAATGAGTGATGGACAAAACGTAGTTCGTACTTTACATTACTAAGTACGGCCAATTATAAGTTAGAAAAACAATATAAATACAACAACAACAGTAGAAATACTATGATAAGTTAACAATATTCAACATTTCTGGTTTAAATAGAATATATATATTTGACATTTCAATGACGTTTGTTTGTAAAATAAAACAAAACCAAGTACTAACAATCCAAACCATCAGACAAAACTCGAAGTCCCCAAAAAAACGGCATAGGCAAAACAGTGCAACAAGGCAAAACAGTGCAATCAGCATATGGACTGTTCACCGTGTACAAAATACACGACAAACAGTGGTAACAGGTGTCCGGAAGGGAACGACTAGGTTGAGATCGTACGAATTTACAATGTCATGTTATGGAACTTTTACATGCTCTAGTACATAAAGTTTGCTATCGGGAAAATGTGACGATACAAGGACACACATTACCGGATATAAATACGTAAGTTATACTTTTGAAATAGTAATAATGTACATAAATCGGACGAAAGTAACGTGTTTCATGACGACGTTCAAGAAATCAAATAACATTATAATAATAACACGGCGGATCGTCGTAGTTGGATTGTAATACTGCTAGTCATGAGAACTACAATAATATCACATATTACAGTATTTCCACGCTATGAATTTTATAATACCAGGGACTTCTAATGAGATCCTGGATTCAGAATCTAACACCGCGATAGGGGACGTTCACCACGTATAGAAAAAATGAAATGAAATAGAGTTTAACGCCCTACTGCTCTGCTCCTAAGCTGGGCTAATGAAGACGGACGTACAGAAAAGACTAAGGGTAGACTTTAGCTCTAGCAATCGCACTGGAGCAGAGTCCTCTAACAAGAAAGCGATTGATCTGCCTTCCCCGGGGTAGAAAATGCTCTGAAATATCAGCAGTCTGGGAGTTCAAATTGATTATCACCAGCCTGTATAGAGAAACAATTGATACCGAGACAATTTAGACCGAGAATTTACTCCGGTTTCATATCGTATAATAGTATGGGCGGAATCAGCAGGCTAGACATACGGTCCGCAACACACTAAATTCGCAAGCCTAGCGACTTGGGCAATTTCGAAAAATGGATCGCCGCCATCAACAGCTCCGCACGAGAAATCTTGCCACATGTAGTCCAAGAATAGTAGAGATATTTTGTGATCCAGAACTAAAAAAAGACAAATAAATGGTAGAGCCTGTGGGGGGGGGGGGGGGGTTTCGTGCTTACTCATGTTCTTGAAGCAACGACAGCGAGTTTTACAACTTCGTGACGTTGCTAGATTACTTCCCAATTCCCTAACTGACAGCTACATTATCTACAGACACGTGAACAGTAGCGTCCAATCAGACGTTGTGACATAGCGATCTAAGTAAATGATAAAATTAAACTTTTACTTTAGCATTCTCCTTTAAAATTCGCCTGTTTATTTACAATTTTACAGTCTGAGATTACAGACCAAAAAGTTTCGTGGTATTTGTGGCATGAGCCGATTGCTGCTCCTCGGGATTTCTTGACGTGCGATACACGGAACTGTGAGTAAAACACTAGGAACGTCAACGCTGATTGATTAATCAATGTTTGACGTCATAGGGTCAAAAACTGCTCGTACGACCCCTGACACGACCTTCGATGGAGTACAACTCTTCAGATCTTCATGTAGTGTAGGCCATCGAAGGTATAAAAAACGAAACGAAATATAGATCTGTGCGATATTTTTTTTTTTTTTTTTTTTTTATGTGTGTGTGAGTTTTTTTGGGGGTTTTTTCTTTTCTTTTTTTCGGGATCACAACATATTTACAGACAGACAACTGCTTGTATGATTAGATATCACTGCCGCTGTCCTCGTCACTTTCAAGCATTCCCAAATCAGTCCCACCAGGATAATACAAAAGTGTTTCACTTTGTTTGTTTTGCAGCTGGAATTGATTTCAGTTTGCCTTTATCTGGCTTCACCAGTCATTTAGGTCTGTGTTTGTGCTATTCTTGCTTTTTCTGCTAACCGGTTTCACTGGATAACGATGTATGGGTTTCAATTTGCAACTCAACAAGGACATCTTCAAATAAGCTATACCCTTTATTATATCACATTACTGCTAGATCAGCAGCAATTTCTGTTTGTCTGGAGAAATATTTGATTTCTAGGGATTTTGAGTGCGCGTCAAGTTACAGCGTGTCAGTAACAGTTTTTCAATAAGTCTTTTGTATATTGGCTTAAAATATATTCAGCCTAAGTATATAATGCCTTGGCTTTTTGATATCCACATATATCCATGGTTATAGACATCATCAGAGGAAGTAGAGTGCATAAAAGATACAAATAGTCTTATACATGCCTTCGACATTACAATAGTCTTATACATGCCTTCGACATTACAATAGTCTTATACATGCCTTCGACATTGCCCTGGTTATTTGAAATTGAGATCCCGTAGTAAAGTTAGATTTTTTATTGTCTTATACGTAAATGTGTTTCGCCACCTCAGATCAGTAATGTTACGCAGAGCTGTTATACATTAGTGTGAGACCACCCCACCCACATATGCAGTCATTTGAATATATGTTACAAGTCACTGTGAAGGGATGCTGGTATATGTTAAGACTAGACGAGTGAAGTGTGTGGAATGGCGATGTAAGGCTGGTGTGCCGGCGGTTAGCCCATCGTTCCACCCGACCCGTCTTCATTAGCCCAGTATAGGAGCAGAACAGTAGGACGTTAAATTTCATTTCTTCATTAGTCCACTATGAACAGACGTTAAACCCCATCTCATTTCCATAACCTTTGAATAAAACTGCTCCCTTCCGCTCCAAGTTTTTTGTGGATTATTTTTTAAGGCTAGTCTGAGAACCAGATTATTTTATTGTATGGCCTAAATAGCGACCCAAATAAAGCCACCTTTAAACTTACATAATAACGATCCAAATAAATAGCGACCTAAATAAATGTATCTTCAAGTCTATATAACGTACAGTTAAACTACATTTAATGTAGCGTAACAATGAATACACCACTGACGTTATGCATACAGGAATACAAGAAGATAACAGCCATCTTAAACTGGTGAAGTATTTTAAATCTCATAATATGGGAGTTATATTTTCACATTTAAATATTTAATTTTAAAATGTTCATTTGCAAGTGAATATATTAACGTATGAGCATTATATATTTACTCTTAAATGTTAACTTTAAACTTTTCGTTGGTATGTGAGTATTTTGACCTATATGTAAAATAATTTTCACCATAGTGAATTTGATCAATACTGTCATGGTATTTATTATTGATTCTGTGTCTTGTTTTATTGTGTAACACTGACTGGTATCCCTTACCACCTGGTTCTAAAGTATATTTCATTCTTCTACTTGTATATTGTTGAAGGGGGCCACGGTGGCTCAGTGAGTGAGACGCTGGTTCGATCCAGATTTTCAAGTGTGGCCCCTCTTGTCAGTGCTGTAAGACAGGAGGCCTGGCAAGTGAATACTCCCCGAACTGTTTCGTTTGGGTAGAGCTAATCCCACTTAACACTGCTGTAATGGAAGCCAATTTCTGTTCCAAATTATGATTGGTCAATAGTCCGATTAACAACCAATATCATTACGCTTTAAACAGAGCTCCAAATTGGACCAAATATGTTTACATAACGTTACGTCACGCCCAATTAACCAGTGCATAGCAGAATATTGCAGAAAAACTAATTGTGGGACAAATGAGGCTATCAAAACGAAATGAAATGAAATGGGGTTTAACGTTCTACTGTTCTGCTCCTAAACTGGGCTAATGAAGACGGGGGGGGGGGGGATATCAAAACGGATACAATGTAAACAATACTGTCTGGAGACGAACAGTACTTTCATACCTTAAATCACTGTCCAAAGTTTTAGGGAAGACCCCAGATTAAACGAAGGGCTGTCATGTTGCTGTACTTGGAATAGATTTGATTGAACGGGAAGAATAGAGACACTCTCCCAATAGCTCAAGTATCAGAAGCCAATCCAGCAATGGTCAGATAGGGATTTCTCGGGCCATTGCTTCGGGAATATAGGGGTTCAGATGGGACAAAAAGTCGAGGCCCCGTGTACACATTCGAGTGCACGTAAAAGATCCATTGGTAGTTGGAATTCGATATAAGAGTAGGTCGTTGTACCGGACCTCCTTTCAAGGGTTTTTATACGTGAATACCCACGTGTATAAGGGGTCCCAGTTTTACTTCCCCTCGAGAAACTAGACCCTATCCTGAAGGTTCCAAGTTTTGTTTTAATGTTTGAACGTTCAATTCTTATTGAGTTAAATTCCTGATGCGTCATTATAAGCAATATGAATTTCAAAACTACAATATTATGCTGCTCGCTATGCAATAAGCCTGTCATCATTTTTTTTTAAAAGATCCTATTGAATCCATGCACGGACATTATCTAGCACTGGTATTTGGATTTTGTTTTTAGATTAATATTAAATAATCAACCTGGATAGATATTAGAGTGGTGATTGATATTGATGTTTCAGAGTCAATGATCTGTTAATAATAATGGACTAATATTGCATTCTAATTCGTGTTTTCAATACTGAGTTAGTGGTTTAGTTCCTGTAAGTAACCTGTTTTCAATATTTCAGAATCAGCGACCTGTCAATAAAGATGAGTTTACTACTAATATCAGCCGTGGTTCTACTGGTGGCTTACCTGACCATAAACTGGTTTAAAGATCAAAACAAAACACCTCTACCCCCCGGTCCACCATTTCTAGAATGTTTACAGATAACATGGAGAATGTTACGAAAAAATGATACTCATCTGATCGCCGAGGATCTTAGAAAGCGATATGGGGAGATATTCAACATCCGTTTGTTTTCAAGTAACCTTGTGTTCCTGAACAGTAGTCGATTAATGCGTAAACTGTTCGCATCGGGTCAATATCGTGACGTCACAAACGACCGACCAAAGACATTTTTCGGAGAACATATCTGCTACGACTGTCGAGGTATTTCTTTGGTCAATTACGACGAATTGCTCGTGAAGGTTCGCAAAATTGTCCATGGAACTATCAAATTGTATGGAGACGGTATTAAGGTATTCGAGGATATGGTGAATGGAGAAATAAAGATTCTACAAAAGGAGCTTGAAAATTCCACACTGAAGGCCTCATTCGACTTGGACAAGGCTTTGAAAGTTTCACTTATTAGGGTCATCCATATTTTTGTGAGTTAATGATATTTTTTTTGGCGGGGGGGGGGGGGCGAATCGTTTAAAGCGTGCGTGTTATTTCATACGATCTTTCGTAGAGCCAAGTAGCATGGTTTCGATTCCCCCGCGTGTACGTGTACGTCAAACCTCTTGGCGCCCCCCCCCCCCCACACACACACACTGCTTAAGACTCCTACACTACACGCAAGCGAATTATTGAAATAAAATTACCAATATGTCAGTCTCGAAATGACCTAACTTGTGTCGAGTTGACGTTAAACTCTCTCTCTCTCTCTGTGAAATCTCAAAGAACTTTCGTGGCAAAACCCTTGACCGAAACCGGTACAACCTGGTAAGTGAGCCAGTGCCCTACTCATTGGCCCCCTATCACAGAGCAGCATAATAGGCCCCCGGGCAATGCAGTGCAGTGGGGCACTTACATATACAGCCACTCAAAGGAATAAAAATGTAAATGGTTGATAAAATTAAGTATACATTTACCATATTGGTACCTTCAACAGTGTCTAAACATTTAAAAAATAAACAGTCCTGCTCTATCAGTTTATTTTTATCATTACATTAACATATACCCTACTTGTTTGGTAATGGGGATCACGTGGCTAAGTGGGTAAGACGCTGGCTCGCTAGTCTGGAGGTTGGGTGTTCGATCCCTGCAATGGCCGAGAAAGTTCATCCCGATTTTCCGGCGTGGTTTCCCCTTGTCAGTGATGCGGAACGGAGGGCCTGGCAAGGACACCTGTCTAGTCGTTCGGATGGGACGACAAACCGATCCCTTGGCAGTTGGAATTCGATATAAGAGTATGCTGTAGCTCCGCTGCCCGGGCAAAATTTCCCTCATACCCACTGTATGGCGTATGCCCGTCTTCATTAACCCAGTTCGGAGCAGAACAGTAGCACGTTAAACCACAGTTCATTTGTTTGGTAATGCGGATGGGCAGATTTGACTTTTATTGGGGGGTGCAAAACAACATTACCTTACCCATTATTTGTGTTTTTGGTATTTTTTAGTTAACCAACGAAAGGCCTACCGATTCCAAAGAATGTAAATATATTTGTGATACAGTTGAAAATTTTGATTATTTCGACAATGAAATGTTCAACAGTTTTCTCCTTAATACCTGCCCATGGGTTCGTTTTTTACCAGGACGAGGGCGTCGACTTTATAAAGCTGCGCTAGAAGCCAGTGAGAGATTAAACAACTTATACATGAATCCCTGTATTAAAAAAGTAAGAATCGATATTCTAGAATTTATTTTTAGGTGTATTTAGCTTTAGGTCTTCCGATATTTTTTTTTAATGTTACCGTGTGTTTCTTTTTTTAATGTTACCGTGTGTTTCTTTTATTAATGTTACCATGTGTTTCTTTTATTAATGTTACAGTGTGTTTCTTTTATTGATGTTACCGTGTGTTTCTTTTATTAATGTTACCGTGTGTTTCTTTAATGTTACCGTGTGTTTCTTTAATGGTTTTTTTTGTAAACAGTATTTTATTTCATTTGAAAATGGATTGGAGAACAGGCTGGGCCTATGTTGACTCCTCTCCAGAATTTACAAAAATAAGTTTAATTTATGTGCATACAGAACATATATACAATAACATATAAACATACAAAATATAAAATTATTTGAGATTTAAATATAAACTACACATTTATACATATATACAGTTGTCCGTTCCGTTATTTTATATTAATATGGTACCCATATAGTAGTACCCCCTCCCCTCCATATAAAACCTATCTAAACGTGAAGTATTATTTGTTATATTATGTATAGAGTAAATACATCAATAACAGACGGAATGATTTGGAAGTTAGAAACGTTTTGACAATTTTAAGAAAATATGAACAGTGTTAAAAATGAACTCATTTTGATCAACTGAGAGGACAAACTGACCATTTAATAAAATACTAATATCTTGAAATTGCTGCTTTAGTAAACCAATAGTTTGACCTCGGGCAACCGAATGCAAGGAACATACTAGTAGATAATGATAACAATCTTCAAAATAGTGACCACACGCGCAGGCGGGGCTATCCGTTAAATGTCTCAAAAACTTATGACCATTTAAATCGCTGCAGCCTAATCTCAGTTTACTATGTATTATTTGATTTTTTCTATCTCCAATATAATAGTACTGTGGAATAATATGGTCGTTTTTAATCAAGCTTGAAAATAATGATGAGACAGAATTTGAATTTTGTACTTCGGGTTCCAATGTGTTCCATTCTCTGATCGTCGACGGAATAGATGAATTTGAAAAAATGTTTGTTCTACAAAAGTACTCTTCGAGATTATTACAGTTTCGTAGAAGATATGGTGATTTTTTTCTTTAAAATAAGGTTAGAAATATATGAAGAAGCTAGACCATTGATTAACTTATAGAATAATTTTAATTTGTGTCTTCGTCGACGTTCAGCTAATGGAACAAATCCTGTTTCTTTATAGAGTTTTGCATGGCTTGTACCTCAAACCGCTCCACAAATAGTCCTTAGTGCATCTAACTGTAAAGTTTCTAATTGTGAAACTAATTTGTTTGAACAACCAGCCCAAATTACGTCAGCATAATCAAAATGTGGTAAAATAAAAGAAGTATAGATGATGTTTAATGATTGTCTGTTAAGTCGATATTTTAATGATCTAAAACAATTGATAAGTTTCCCTACTTTATTACAGATATGATTTATATGGACATCCCATTTGCAATTTGGTTGAAAGTTTAGCCCAAGATGTTTATGCTCCGATACTTCTTTTATTTGCACAGTGTCCAAGTACAAGTGTGGTCTAGTTAAATGTATTTTAGTTGAAAAAGTTATTGTTTCAGTTTTTAGGGGGTTGAAAGTTACAAGCCATGTTTTTGACCAGTTATTAATAGTTATCAAATCATTATTCAGGATAGCCGCGTCTGCCTGAGGATTCGTTATTTGTAAATAAAGGGAAGTGTCATCTGCAAACAGTCTAATATTCGAGTTAATATCATTTACAAGATCATTAATATATAACAGAAATAAAAGAGGACCGAGAACCGAGTGAGGCACCGGCAGGGACAATTCTGGGGTCAGAGGAGGCACCACTAACTACTACTTGCTTTATATTTTTTAAATAATCAATAAACCAATCAAGCAGCCCCCCTCTTACACCAGACGCCCTCAGCTTATGACAGAGTCCAGCGTGCCAGACTCTGTCAAAAGCCTTGCTGATGTCACAGAACACTGCTCTTGTATACGTTCCGTGATCTATGGCTTGACAAAAAGTGTGAGTTAAGTCAATTAGTTGATAGATAGCGCTATCTCCCTTTAAGAAGCCACTTTGAAACGAAGTTAGTATATTGTTTTCACAAAAGAAGTTAAAGACATGCATATATATGCATTTTTCGAATATTTTTACAACAATGCTTAATAATGATACAGGTCTATAGTTTCCGCATTCATGAGGAGATCCTTTTTTGAAAATTGCTACTACATTTGCTGATTTCCAAATTTCGGGGACTTTTTTATGAGAAAGGGACAAATTAAGAATATAGCAGAGTGGTTCGCTTATTTCATTTACAATTGTTTTTAATATTTTCCCACTGATATAATCAGGGCCTTTAGCTTTTGAAGTATCTAAACATAGAATGATATCTTTAACTTCTTTTGGGCTTAGTACGATCTCTGTAAGAGAGTTTAGGTTTTGTTGAAGAACAGGCAAGTTATTATTATCGTCGTTAAGTTTAGATTGGTTAATAAAAAAGTCATTTAGGGCGTTCGCCTTGTCCAGTGGTGTAAAGTGGGTGTGGTTATTTACTTGTAGAGGTGTCAGTTCGTTGTTGACCGCAGGTTTGGACTTCACAAATGAATTAACTAAATTCCACCAATCCTTTGTACCGAAGTTAGCTTTATTGTTAATTCTATCATCTAGTCTCTCAAAATAATCTTTTTTGCTCTTCCGTATTAAAGTTATGTGATCATTTCTAATCTTGCGAAAGTTTGCCCAATCTATAGGATTCCCAGATAATTTTGCTTTTCTATGGATTTTGTTTTTCCGTCTTTTCATTTTCTTAATTTTAGAATTCATCCATGGTTTATCATTTGGTCTTATTGTTACTAATTTGTTTGGAATATTCTTTTTGGCTAACTTAATTAACTCACTTGTAAAGTCGAGACACGCTTTACTAACATTATTTTCATCAAAAAGATCGTACTAAGCTATATTAGATGCACCCAAGATAAGGTTGTCGTGGTCCATGTTCCCATAATCCCAAATAATTCTTTGAAAGCTTTTATAATGGGGTGAATTAAATGCTAGTCTACTAAAAATCGGACAATGGTCGCTACAAAAATTATCAAGACAACCGGATTCGACTATAAAATGTTTCGAGTTTGTTAGAATTAAATCAATAAGACTATTTTTCCCATAATCATCATACCGAGTTGGTTCTTTGATAACCTGGTTAAGATCTAATATAATCATAGCATTATGTAAAAATGTATTCTGCTTTACCATGGTTATTTCTGTCGTTGCGAACAGGGGTGTTATATGAGGGTATAGAACAGGGCTGTCGGTAATTTTTCACAGTTGATTAGCAGCACATCAAAAAGTCCAATTTTGCCAAATTTGATTAGAAAATTTTAAAAAATGATTAGGAATTTTCAGTTTCAACATAAAAACCTAAATAACAAGATATTACTTTACTTCATAACAAATATGATTAGATTCCATTCTGACTATTCTTAGATTTTTTTAGCACTGCCACAAGTACTTGTGACAGTTTGTGAATGTGATGTAGACATTTAGTTAGGTCTTATGTCTGAAGCCAATTCTTAACAGTGACTTCCAAGGCCCCAATCATTTTAATTGTTATTTTTTGTTACGTTAGAAATCTTCGTTAGAAAATAATTTCGTCTGCTTTTTATCGTATATTGCTATTTTTGTCCAATCGGGCGAACCTCGATTAACTAGACACACGCGATATTTTACGGGAATTTTTTACTTTGATTTATCATTTTGCAATACGTTAACATATATTTATTTTTTTATATTTTATTTACAATACGTGGCGGATACACTGGATTTATTTCTATCAAAATGAATATAATATAATTACTTGATGTCTCGCAACGTGAGTGGTACTACTTGATTCCCTATTTCCGGTTTAATAGTCCCTATTCATAGAGTTATGTCCCTGTATTATATAGTACCGTATAATGAATTGTGTCTGGGTAGTTCGAGAAAAAAATGTCACACGGAGAATTCGGTTTTGTTTATAAAATTTTATTCAACATTTTATACACGTTGAAAGTGTTCAGAAAGCCTTCTAGTCTTCAAATGTGGATTATCCTTGTGTCAATATCCAAAATGACAGGCATATTAATGATTCGCAGTTACTGCGAATCAAAAACTTTAGATTTTAATTTTTTATTAGCAACGGACAAAATATGTATCGCAAATTGCGCTGCGAATGGAGTAATTTTTTGTTTTCAGTATGTTTATAACGGAACGGCACAAATATATACACATATTAATGGTTTTATATATACTATTCAAAAAAAGTAGGGGATATTTGATTTTGGGGGCATAATACTAAAATATGCAAATGACTACGAAAAAAAGTCACTATAGAACCTAACAGAAGAAACATTTCCAGTTACATGTGACTCCCAAACGCACCAATAGCTACCGCATGGAATGCAGGTGATGCTTGGGATCATCATGGGGGTCCAACCCAAGATTTGCATGACTCTGACTTTGAATGTTACAGTCATTGTGGCATTGAATTCCAGGGTGGAAACATCAGTTTAATTGTTTTAGTGACCAGAAAACAAATTTTGATATGCGTCGGCTTACCCAAAATGAAAGGTTACGTGCCCTTGGCATGCTACAGATCGGCACAACACAGGCGGTTGTGGCGCGGACGATGAATGTTTCTCAGTCTGTCATAAGCAGGCTATGGTCCAGATACCGTGATACACAATCTGTACAGGACAGACCACGCTCAGGTCGACCAAGGGCGACAACTCAAGCCCAGGATCGATTTATCCGTACCTTGGCCTTGAGAAATCGTGTCATCACAGCAAATCAGATCAGCGCTCGTCTTCAAACAGACACTGGTGTGAGAGTGAGTGGCCAGACGATTCGGAATCGACTGCATAGGGGTCACCTTCGCGCCCGACGTCCTCGCGTGATCCCTTGTTTGAGAGATCATCACATTCAGGCAAGACGTCGTTGGTGTAGGGATCGTCAACACT